GGCGCCCCTTCCGCGGGCGGTCGATCGGTCATCTCTTCCTCGGACCACGCACCGATTACCCCCTCCCTCCCCGTCTCTCAGACGGGCCCGAACGGCTGTCTGTAGACTGGAGGGAGCTAACGACTGTTCTGTGAGATCAGGACCCGCTGAGTGCGACACACCGGCAGTGACGGATACGGCGAGGCCGGCATAATAAGGATAAAGGAGAGTATGCTTTGGTTTAGAAGAGATATGTCTTTTCCTGTTATCATCAACCTTTTCAGTCCCTTTATTGCTGAATGTGAGATGAGCTTCGCTTTACAATGAGCCGTGAGCAATCTTTTTCAAGCGTGAAAGTCACAACAATATGATTTTTAAGCACGTTGACTCTCAGTTATCAGTTGATTTCATTTCATTACTAGCCAGTTTAATCATAAACCGTCTACTAACTGGCCTCGCCGGCGTCATTACCAACTCTTTTCAGCGGACAATCCCACTGATTCCCCTCTTTTTCCTTCCACCTGTTACACATCCGACTTCTCAAACCTCACAGCGGGCCGATCCCGGTTATAACGCGATATGACGAAATTAATGGCCGGGAAAATTCACCCCACGGCCGCGCCCCGCCGCCGGCCGACAACCCCAGTACGGCCCGGACGACTGGATTACTTCAGAGCCCGCCATATATAAATGTCTCACTTTTACGACAAATTGGGCTGTGGCAGCTCATAGATGACTTTAGCGAGCGGCGCGCGCGATCGGCGGCCCGGAGGGTCGGGCTCGGCCGCGGCGGGAGACGGTCGTTACGGCCGCGGAGTTCGCTCGAGCCGTCTGCTAATGTGAGCTGAGGGGGGCCGAACGGAATGCGGCGCGACACACACGGGCCGGCGGCCGTGGAGGGCCGCCAGCGCCGCCGCAGATTGAATTTGTGATTGTCGATCGGTAATTTGCGCCGCCGCGGATCAAAGGACGTCTGAATGGGCGGTCCGGCTCGTCGGCCGAGGTCGGTAATTTGTGATTGATGAGTGGCGTTTAGGGTGTGCGAGCGTTTGGCTGTGTGTGTGTGACGGGGCGAGCGTTGAACACAGCTGTTTCACGCCCCATGACAGCTGACATTTGGTGAAGAGAAGAATAGGTTAGGTATAACACATGCATATATGAACACCTCACATGTGGCATCCAATACAAAACAAAGCAAATCATAACATGCAGAAGTGCTTAATATATCGGCCAGCCAATCGCAGAACACACATGAGCTTACGAGTACGACGCGCCGACAGTTTATTGCCATCAATTTATAAGTCTCGAAAATGTTGGATGGGAATAAAAAACTGATCTCGCTTTTTAGGCCCACCGCATACCTAACTAATTCAGTTTTAAACGTACCACTTCATTTCCTGTCGATCACGACTGCAGCCGTTCCCCTCCCCCCTCCCCTCCGACTCCCACCGTGCCGCCAAACGGGCTCCGGTCGCCTCATTGACTGTGCCACCGGGGCGTCACCGGCCGCATGTGCGCCGTAATTGCCGCTGCGCCACCGTCCGCCGCCGCTGCGCCGATCAGCGGCACGTCTGACTTCTGTCAGAGCCGGCTCCAGCTGGGAGGCCGCCGCCGGGCATCGGCGCGTGCCGTGTCACACCGCGGCGTCATCGGCGTCATCCGAGCGTCATCGAGGCGTCATTGGACGTCATCCGGGTGTCAGACGCGGCGCGGCGGCGGCGGAACAACAGGCGTGACACGTGCTGTGTGATGTGACGCACGTGACAAAGGCGCTGTAGTCTGTCTGTGACGCCGCCGGCACTGGCATCATGACGGCTGAGTCAGGACTGGAATGTGCGAGCGACTATAAAGTGAGGAGAAGAGCTCTGGTTGGCATAGGTCATTAGACTTTGCATGAAGAAATATCTGAGTGATGTGCGACGTTGCATCACTCCCACTTGTTTCGAGCATAAAAAATGAGCGTCGTTTAAACTGACCCGCTGGACTAAATGCCAGCGTTGAGTGAGTCATAGTCACCGCGCGCTGAGCGGGGGCACACCTCGGTCAGAGAACACCACGAGCGCGAAGCGTGCCCGACAGCCCGGAGAAAAACACGGCTCGTTCCAGCCACAGACGCCACTTCATCTCCACCAAATTATGCAATTAAAGCAAGAAAGATTGCCTCGATTTGTCGGCGTCAGGCGGCCGGACGAGCGTGGTGTCCCGTTGCGGTCGGGCCGTGCCGGAACGTTGTTCGCTCGGGCCGAGTACAGGGGTGACGTCATCGGGACAGCAGGCGTGACGTCACCAGTGGACGGCGGCCATTGTTCAGAGGGGCCCTCGTGACCCGCGCTGCACGGTTCAGATGGGTGACTCACAACTGAGAGAGAGCCAGTATGGCCGCCGAGATCTGGACTGTGCACTGTGAGACGAGCGCAGGGTGGGTGCAAAGTGGTGGGGGCGGAGCAGTAGGTTGGGAGCTCCAAAACTATATAGGATGGAGCTGATTGGCGGGCTCTAACAACACATACAAGCCAGTGGTTTCGGAACGGTGACTAAAGCAGCCTCAGACAATGGTAGATTCAATGGCGATCGATCAGGATGAACCATAGTTGCCGCAGACGTCTGTGGGATTAGTGAGTGAAAGGATTTTGTTTTAAAGGAATCACTTTTTTCTTTTCCTACAGTATTTCCAAGTTTTACAGTTTTTTAAGGCGGTGATCAACGACAAATCTATAAAAGGTGGTGTCCGTATCTTACGCAAATTCTGAAGCCCAAAATAGATGCAAGAGACGGGCGAGATTCGGAGCGCTTCATTTCAAAGATAACTTAAGTGCAAGACTGGAACATCGCGTCGGCATAAGGCATCCGCTTTTGGCCCTTCACATGTAACTTTTAGCCGTCCCGCTGTAGCCACCCTTGTCCTGTGCAGTGTGCACCTCAGTTTCCCCACGCCACGTTAACCCCCGCGCCACGTTCGTCCCTCTCGCGCCGCGATCGTCCGAGATACCGCAGGCGCGGCGATCGATCGGCATCGGCGGCGAAAAAGGTCGCTTAGTTGCAAAATTCCTCGCTGGCCGTTGGTAGGTGGTCAGTTGGTGAGGCGGCAGCGGCGTCAGCAGCGCTCCACAGGTCGTCCGGTGCCGTGTCAGCCCCCGGCGGCCGGTCAGCCGCCGCGGGTCGTCCAGCCGGGCAGCGCCGCCCGAGGGCCGGCTCTGGGCCGCCGTCCAGCTGGCAGGGTCCCCGGAGCCCCACCCCGCGGGCGCCGGCAGCGCGCGCGGCACGGACGACTCCGTAACCGGGAAACGATGGAAACAAACGACACTGTGTGCTGGCTGAGGAGCGGCGCTTCCACTGAAAAATGGAGCTGACGAGTGTCATCGACACCCCGCGAATCGCGCAGAGTGACGGTCCCCCCGGCAGGACGGCGGCGCGACGGCCCGGCTCTTATTGTAATTAGTAGTCGGCCCGGGGTGTCCATGGGGTACGAACGCTGTAGGGGTTGACCAGTGCTTCTCTACTCCTATAATCAATTTATTAGTAAAATCCAAATCCACCCGCAAAATAAATAGCAATTGCACTAGCCACTTAACAATATCAAAGCTTGAAACTCAGCAATCCGCAATGACTGAATATCGAAAGATTCAGTTAACCAAGGCCCTAAATACACAGCTAACATTCTACCTTATTTGCCATTCGTTAACTACAGGTGTCAAATAACTGCCGAGCTTTCTTGCTGTGCTGATGTGAAATAAGTTGGCACACCTGTCGTCACTAAGCTGTAAACCGTACACAATAGCGTGCGTGCTTTTTGCCAAAGGTATCATCACTTCTGCATTGTCACAAAAGCCAGCTTGCGACACCGGTCTGCCGAACAAAAACCCGAGCCTTCAGTGCACGAAGAGTATGACTCAGCCTCGGTTATAGAGTAAGCGCTGCTTTGATGTTACCGGTAAGTGACAAGTGATTACGCATTGATTGACGGGTTGCATATGCGGGCGATCGGAATTTTTGGTCTGTAGAATTTGCATCGCCAGATGTGTAAAAATGTTACCAAGTCCGAATTTCATGACGAAAAGAGACAAGCACCCAAAGAGATAAACCAACTTGTTCGACTCAAGTCTAACCAAGTCTGACCCCGAACCAGCCAATCCAACTCGTAGCCAGCTCCGTCTAATCCCAACCCGACCCAGTCTGACTCCGATCCGACGCGGTTCGACTTCCGTCCGAACTAGGTCTAGCGACAGTTCCGACTCCCGCCCAACTACTTGGTCTAGCGACGGTTCCGACGGTGGGTCGAGGCGGGAGTGTCGGTGCCGACTCAGCACCGCTCTGCAGACTACCGGAGCGGGTAGCCGTCGAGAACGACGAAGCGGTGGAGCGGTCGGGGCTAGCGAAAGGCACCGTGTGTGTGTGTGTCGAGAGAGAGAGAGAGAGAGAGAGAGAGAGAGAGAGAGAGAGAGAGAGAGAGAGAGAGAGAGAGAGAGAGAGAGAGAGAGAGAGAGAGAAAGAGAGAGAGAGAGAGAGAGGAGAGAGAGAGAGAGGGAGAGAGAGAGAGAGGAAGGGATGGAAAGAAAGAAATCAAAAAAGGATGTAGAATACGTATACGAATACTGGAAAATCAAAATAACTGTTTGAGGGAGCGAGGGAACAAGAAGAGAATCATGATAAGAAGACGCGTCTTGAAAAGTGTAACGTTTAAAAACAGCAGGCTCCAATAAAGTTCAAAGTAGTGTTTATGTTCTTTCCAAGTAGCTGTTCACTCCCAGATAGTAGCCTATGAGCCTAATTACTTCTTTTGCGTCTCTACTCCTCGGTGGACTTAAGTGACTTTGATGCTTTTACCTCAAGTACATAAGTACAGAGCTGAAAATGTTGTACCTACCTAACAACCTGAAAACAGTATACTTTTTCATCCTTGACGATTCATGCGAACTTCGTGGAAGTCCATTCTGTTCGTTGGGATTCGCACATCTCCTAGAGGTAACTGAACAAGTCATTCCGACATAATGCTTTAGAATAAATAAATAAAAAACAGCAGCAACATTAACTGTATCGTTTATTTTCTTCTAAACAGTCTAAACATACTACCTCATAATAGCCCTATATTTATTGACACATTCATTTTACATTGGCGCAAGTCGCTTTCCACGCCTCACATATTGCCTACACGACTTTGTTTTCGTATGTCACAATTCCATCACACACAGTTACACGGCAGAAACAGCGGCCAGCGAGCAGGATCAATATTGAAAGAAACCTCACACCGAGCTTTACAATTGCCAGTGATTGCTGCACGGCTCTAAAGTAAAAAATAAGCCAACATATCTGTCGACGCCGACGCCGGCGCCGCGGCAGGGCGAGCGATCTCTTCTCGACACCCTTCGGAATGCTCGCCTGGCTAGATATATCACGAATAGTCTGCAAAATAAGACTAGTTGCTCATAGACAACACATTGTGTTGCGCAGCTCTCGTCAAAACTCAGACGCCGGCGAAAGCTCACGTCAACACTTAGCGGGCGAATAGCCGTCACCGCCCGGCAGCCTCCAAAACGACGAGAGAGCACAGTTTACACGCACTGTCAGATATATAATATGTAGATACAGCACACAGCGACACTTCTGGGCCGCCTCAAACTGCTTGCACATGACTGGCTGCAGCGTAGTACCTATAGCTTATCATGAGGGGCTGCGCCTCACGTCGACCGCAAACATCGCTCACGAGAGAAGTTCGTTTCAAATCTGACTATGAAACGGCGCAGCGATCGTTATACATACAATGAGCAGATGCGACAGAGCCGAGCATAGACCGTGCCCGGTCGGATCGAAAAGTCGAGACCGGGCGGAATCGAACCAGCCCTTAGCTCAGTCGGGTCGAAAAACATCACACGGACGGTCTACACACAGAGAACGCTTTTTTGACGGTGTGCGGACGGCAAGTTCGGGAAATAATTAACACACATCGACTGCAATCTGCGTAAGACAGCCATTGCACATTATCCCGCACGGCATATCCGCAACTGTCGCTCGCTCGATAATCCTACGATACAATAACGGCAGATACATATCGGGTGCTTTCCTGTGCATTAAAGCCAAACATCTTGTGACATATAAATAGGCAGATTACAGCAGCATAACTACTACATAACAATTCCCCTCAGTAAGCTCTTACGCCTGACCTAGCGGAAGCTCAGCTCACCCCTCTCTCCACAAAAAGCAATATAGCGAGCGTGACGTAACGGACGACGTTACAGTACCGACTGCCGACATTGCTCGGTGTCACATGACGCGCAAACACCGCGCCGGTTATCGTCACGGCCGCCACAATGGTCGACGTTACGAGGTGGTGACGGGTGGTGACGGGAGACGCGGCCAGTTTTCACAGCTAATTAGGGGAATGGGACAGGGTAGCGAGTAGTGGGCAGAGCGCGGGCTGAGAGGGGAGCCGGGGTCGGCTAGGGGGTCAGCGACGATTAGAAGGCGCCAGAGAAGTGCGAGCTTAGCAGCAGTGTGCTATGTTTTAGGGAGGAGTGCGCGTGTGTTTGGATAGCATCGGGTAGAAAAACCATTAGACGTTAATTTGCTACTCTTTTAACAAGTGTTTAGCTGTTGCAGTCTAATTTTTGGCACAAAACGAACAGTCATGGCTGAAAGCAAACGTCAAAGCTATCAGTCGAGCAGCGTTCATAAAAGACATATGTATTAAAAAATGGCGGCAGCACGTACCTATCGAGAAAGGTTATACGAATGACAGATTTGGGATAGCTTGACTGATGTGAGCGCTTGTCAAACCCTGGCAGTTCCCAAAATGACCACAGGCCCCTGGGTGGCATATGTACGGCCAAAGTTCAGCCGCTAGCAACATAGTTACATAATTAACATTTTTGATTCGCGCTAATAGGTACTGACGCCAACTTCAGCTAGGTCTCCAATGGTAGGTAAATATGCTTTCAAAGCACCAAAGAAATCGATGACAGGTGTTGAGCTATCCAGCTATGCGATAGTTTTGGAAAATTGATTTAGCAAACGTCCAAACTACAAACGTTCAGTGGATGAGCCTCAAAGTATCGCTGTCGCGATGCGCGTCAGCCGTTCGAGGAATTTGCAAACAATGCCAATATTTGAAAGCTGAATAAGCACGCCCGAACCTTGCAAGGTCATTGCCATGATGCTGGCCAGACGCGACGATGTTTCTGGTCCGAGTATCGACCGAAAACACAACACGTAACCACCGAGCCACGTTTATACTAACAGTGGTCCTCAGCTGGCTCTGAATTTCGGGAATTCGCAAAGCGCTACCAGCTCTGCCCAGTGCATCAAGTTAGGCAAACAACTCGAAACGCTGCCGTAAAAAAACCACAGCCTTTGGCCAATCAAACTACCAGCCGGATTAACAGTTGAATTTAATTCGGTGACGCTATCCAGATTTCCGCAAAACATCGGCACCGGCATTAACAAGCGCGCTATGCAAGCTCGCCCGTTTGGTATCGGCATCCGCACGCCACCCTGCACCACCGCGGAGGCCGGGGCAGTCGCGCTCCCCTATTGACCTCGTGTCCCTTCATCAGCCCAGAGTTCGCACACCACGATCGCCGGGCGTGATCGAACACGGTAAAAAAGAGTGTTACCGGATTGCTACCGCGCCGCGTCTCCAAGGCCTCGATAAACACAGGAGCGGGTGTCGATGTGAGTCCACCGGCTGATCGCGGCGGTCCGGGACGAGTGAATGATGTAACCCGCCCTGTCCGCGTCGGACAGACCACACGCCTGGCCTGTCGGGTGGTCGCCCGGGGAGACATGGCACGAGCGGAGTCCATGACAGGTCCCGGCGGCAGATGGACAAACAAGGTGGCAGACAGAGAGGCGACGGCGGTGGCGGAGGCTGGAAGGATAGAGATAAGTTCGGTATTTCAGACATGAAAGGAGGAAATGAAGGAGAAGAAAGCAAAGGAGATGAGACAAGAAAGTATGCTCTCAGACAGCAAAAAAGGTAAATTAGTGAGACCGTCTTTGTCGATTTAGTTTCACATCTGGGGGGACAGAGCATTCGTAATTACAGCCCCGAAACATACCACGGACGCCCTCCGAATTCGCCGCGTCTGACATTGACGGAGGTCAGTGGCGACACGCCCCCGCAGCGCCCACTCTCGTCAGTGACCCTCTGTGTCAGTCCGAGCCCGCGGCGCCCCGTCTGGTGGACACCTCACCGCAGCTGACAGCTCGCGCCGGTCGCGACGGGCCGCGTCGGCCGGCGGCACGCGACACTAAAGTCTCGCCAGCGGCCGTCGAGTCGCCGCCAGGTATATTTACATTATGACAGCCAGGAGGGGCGGCGGAGAGGCGCCGCCGCGTCCCGCCGGCCGTTTGTACGGTGGTCCGGCAGTCCGGCATGGGCCGCCGCACTGCCGCTTACCATCATCTGGGCTGGTAGAAGTCGGCCGGCGCCGGCGGCGGCGGCCGCTCGGGGGACGGGCGCGCCTCCTCGCCGGGCCGCTCGTGTTTGACGGGCCGCAGGGCGGCCGCCGTCAGCTCCTTGGCCCGCTGCTCGGCCAGACTCTTGTAGTGATCGCGCTCGTGGCACAGCTGCGCTATCGTCTCCTTCAGGCTGTGGATGTTGGACTCGAGCGAGATCTGCCGCTTCAGCCGCTTCTGGCGGCAGCTCTGCGCGTAGCCGCGGTTCTTGAGGGTGCGTCGCTTCTGCTTCATTTTGACCACCGTGTCCTTGGGCAGGCCGTTGAGCCGTTTGTTGAGCTCTCGAACTGTGATGCAGACCAGTTCCTCGTCGTCGATGATGAGGTGTTCGGGTGTGTGTCGGCCGCCCGGAGCTGGCGGAAGGTACACACGGCCGCCCGACAGTCCCACTCCGAACCCGCGCTGCTGCGCGCTGCCCGGACTCACTGTGCCGTGCTGCTGGGGGTGGTGATGCTGCTGCTGCTGCTGCTGCTGCTGTTGTTGCTGCTGCTGCTGTTGTTGCTGCTGCTGTTGCTGCTGTTGGTGCTGATGCTGCTGCTGCTGGTGCTGCAGCCACCGCGGGTCCAGCTCGCCGGCACAGGTGGCGCGCAGGTCCAGCGGCTGTTTGGGCAGCGGGTAGGCCAGGCCGGCGCCGGCGCCCATCCAGCCGGGCTCGTCCAGCCGCAGCGGCTTGGGTTCCATCTCGGCGCAGTGGTGCGCCATGTAGCCGGCCGGCAGCTGCGCCGGCGCCGCGTGGCTCGGCAGCGACGCGTACGACGGCGAGGGCGTGAGGCCGGCCTGCGGCGAGCTGCCCGGCGGCGTCTCGGGCGGGCTGCCGGGCGTGCTGGCAGCGGCGTGCAGCTGACCGCCCTTGGCCGGTCCCGGGTGCGCCAGAAACATCATCTCCTCGAGCGCCGGGTCGGCGCCGTACATCATGTGGCCCTGCGGCACGGCCGACGGCTGCACGTGCTCGGCGAAGCCGGCGTGCGACATCTGCAGCTCGTTCATGAAGCCGTAGTCCATTCCGTACTCGTCTGCCATCACTGGGGCGGGCGCGCCGGACGTCTGCACATAGCCCGCGGGGGGTGCCACCGGTCGGCCCACCTCACCCCCGCGCCACCGGGACGCCACCTCCTCGCAGAGGGTCCTCCTCACAGAGTCACCCTCCACCCCGGCACCGCCGCACCACTCCACAGTCTCAGTCACAGACGCAGTCACTGACTCAGTCACAGCCGGCTCGGCTCGCGAACCATCCACTGTCCGGCTCTGGTGGTCTCTCACTGTTCACAGACGCGCACACCCACCTCGAGAGGACTGTTCAGCGCGGCGCGCGTCGGCACATTAATCTGCATACTATTGGGGTAGTTTTGACGTACGGCGGGATACGAGTTTGGCAGCGTTGATCTGGCACTGTGCCCGCACTGACCGATACGTCAGAGGACAAATGTCGCGAGGCCCGGCGCCGAGGACGGACGGACGTCGCGTCGGCAGCGGACGGGCGGACGGTCGGACGGCACGCGTCGCGGACGTCGCGGGTGTCTGTGCGCGTGCACTCACTGCCGGCGGCGGTCTGCAGCTGTGGGCGGCGGCGGCGGCGGCGGCGGCGGAGCGCCGGGGGCGGGCCGCCGCCGGCCGCCGCCGCGCCTATCGACTCGGCCCGGCTGGACGGGGGGCGTGGCGTTCCAGCGCCGGCGGCCGGCCATTGGCTGCGGCCGGCGCCGTGACCAGAGCGTGTATCGCGCCCCTCAGACAATACAGGTCGGAGCTCACCTGGGCGCCGCCGACGCCACGGCTACCGAGCCGGTCAGGGGCGGCGCCTGGCCGCCCATGGCCGACGCCCGCCCCCGCCCCCGCTCCCGGCCGGCGCCACGGTCAGAGGTAACATGATCAACACGACAGGAGAGCGGTCTGCACTGCACCGACAGAGATGTATGTCTGAGTACATGGCCACTGAGGATCGCGTGTATGGACAAGGTGGTATCTAATGACGGCACACCTCGTCTTAGCCACAAAGCAAACGTGGGCAAAAGCTCCTCCACTCCCTGCACTCCTCCATGTCGGTGAAGAAAACAAGTCGAGTTTCCCATACGTACGGAAGGCGCAGCGGATGGCCTATAAACTTTTCCTTAATCTCTACCAGCCTTCATAGGTTCGGAGCGAATCATGGACTAAGAAAGTCCAGCCTCTCTAGTGTGAAAAATAAGCGAAATGCATGTGAAGAAAACCGATCTTTTCCGTTGCAAATTGGTGCATTTTGCATAAATTACTTCAACATGAAACAATAGAATATGTAAGTACCAACATTCTGTGTGACATATTAAAAAAAAAGTCCAAGAAAATTGAGGAAAACCACCCGAAACGGAGTAACGAAGAGAAAAATGACATCGTTCATAATGAGGTTAAAAGAGGCACCTTATAACAACCATGTCAGCACTTCATCTGCAAAAATGAATTCATAAAAAAGAGGGAAGGTGAAAGTGAGAGAGAGAGAGAGAGAGAGAGAGAGAGAGAGAGAGAGAGAGAGAGAGAGAGAGAGAGAGAGATCCCACACCCTCAGGGAGAGTATCGGAGAGACCCGGTGGCCCACAGAGCGAGTCGGCTCGGTCGCCCCTCTCCGCCGGCACTGAGCTCGCTGACACAGCAGAGCTGCACCGGCCTGTTGTCCCACCGCCGCGGGCTGTGGGATCGACCGAACAGGGCGCGGCGGCACGTACTGAGAGCGGGCTGCACCGCGGAGGAAAGGTGTCGGAAACGGGACAGGGTGGGGAGAGTGGAACGGGAAACTCTGCCTCCTGTGAAGGGAAAGGATGAGTCTCATGAAGGAAGTCATAGCAAATAGCTGTTGTATGGTACTTAAAAACTAGCGGGCATGCTGGAGCTATTGAGAACAAAGCTTTGCTGTAACGAAAAGAGTATCAATCAGGAAAGTGTATCACATTTTTCCGAAAGGGGCATTTGTATGTGGCACCACGTACCTATCCACTATTCGACCACATAGCTCGCGCCCCATGATGGCCAGTATGGATTTGGATCGAGCGTTAAACGTGCCGTAACGAACCGTCGGCACGATTTCCCGGGTTTGTTTCTAATGCCAGGTGCGATCATTGTAACTATCGCGAACCCAACCGCGGGTCTTTTCAAACCCCGAGCTCTTTGCCTGCGGGCTATTGGCGAGGCTCTAATGGTCACGTGGCGTATAAGTGACGCATTGGGATATCGCCTTTCGGCGTAAGCATTTTCCCAACATGCACATTTGGTATTTGTGTACTGTTTGGAATAAGGCAACACACGTTCACACGAATTTTACTTTTATGACATTCACTTCAACCAATAATGACCTTAAAATATAGCTGCAACCTCACTTCAGAACGATGTCAACGACTGTGCCAGCTTCAGCTCAGAAATGTCACGACTTTTCAACAGCTACTTCAGAAAATTATTGTAAAGCTACGCCACCCCAACAACTTCAAAATCAGCAGTCCATCCGGTGTCGGCAAATTGGCACCACAGCTGACACGAGCTTTCTGTCCGGTTTGGACTGCAATTCACGTAGTTTTGTTGTCCAGTTTTGGTTTTAGCATCCAGGTCCAGCTAAAGAGGACTGTCCACTGTCCAGTTCCTCCGCTGACTATGACAGGGTTGTTTTCGATTTTGAGCACGACTGAGACGGGCTCATCTTTCGACCCAGACCGATCGCTTCAAGACAGAAGGAACGCACGGCCTGACAGCCCTACAGATGCGACGGCGATCGTCTCCAATGCATAGCGATTCGATATCGGCCCAGATATGGCATTGATTTGGCATTGGGGACGGGAGATTCATGCAGTGATTAATGGTGCTACTATAGTTCTCGGCCCTCGCGCACGATCTGGCCGTCTGGAATAGTCCGAATATGAGACGATATTTGCGTGACAGTTGAGCCCATTTCAAGTTTAATTTCATTTCAGCGGCCCTGGTGGCGCAGTCGGTTAAGGCGTCGACCCGCGGTGCGGGCGGTGCCGGATTCGGGTTCGATTCCCGGTTCCGCCCGTTCCGCGGGCGTCGTCCCCGGCTGTGTCACCAGGTGTGGGGTAGGCTCCCACTTCAGCCGTAGCCTGGGGGGTGGGGTACAGTGGCCGGGAGGAGATGGAGCCCTCCTATAATTGGGACAACACAAGAGCCCGTTGGAGGGAGGCCTGAATAAAAAAAAAAAAATGAACCGAAAAGCTATACCATATGGTTGACAGGAAAGCAATATAAATTGCACAATATCTCCACCTTTAATTCACAAAATGGAACAATAAACGTTAGCAAAAAAAAAAACAGATCCCTAAAGGCTAAATGAGTTTCGATTTCGTCCCGCACCTGATTGCGTCCCTATCCCCGCCCTGCGCCCTGCGGTATCCGGAGCGGCGGCTCGCCGCTCCTGTGTCTCGCTGCTAGCTGTCCGCGGCCCCGCACCGTGCCGGCGCCCTCAGCCCGTTTATCTGGTGAGCCGGGCACGTGCCGCCGTGTGCGTCACACCATTAGCGAACACCGCGGCGCAGATCACCGGCGCCATTAGTGGCGCGGATGACAGCCGCGCGGCGCCCTTAAATCACTGCCAGAATTTAACTAACGCCCAGCTCCGGACTGCGCCCAGCCGCAGCGGCACGAGACATTCCGCGCGCGGCCGCCGCGTGAGATCGCCGCACTTCGATCACGGTAAATGAGCGATCCCAGACGCGCGATAAAACGCCGGGGGTAGACCCGGCTAAAAACACGGTCCCCAGAGCGGTCACAATGCTGGCTGTTCCGCGATCGTAAACCGAGATATAGCCTCGGTGTGTGACTCTGCGCTCCCGGAGGACGGCGGACGCACACACTCGGTGCTCTCACCCCTGTCGAGGGCCGGTGCGCGCCCTCCCGCGGCGTCTGCGGCCCGGCAAACGACAGCCGACGAGTGCGGCGGAAGCGTCCGCCACCATCGTGTGTCAGGAAGGAAGCATTACCGGCGGCCTGGGTGGCGACCGTGCGCGGAGGGTGTCGGTCCCTCGGCTGCCTAGGGGCGGGCGGTACTCGATATGCCGGCTTTGAGGAAGTGACGGTCGGATGGGGCTCGTGGCAAGGCTTGGTCTGAAACTAATCAATAACTCCACCGATTACTGTTACAATCAATTGTTTAAACATTGTGGAAACATTGTAAATTCAAGCTCTACAAATCAGTCATGAAGCTACCTATGTGTGTAGGATTGTCGAGAGTTTAATAAACAAAAGACGTCAAAACAATAAGTAAAACTCAAAAGAATAATTTAAGCATGCAAATGTGTCTAGGCTGCGCACCACCAACCCCGACTGCCCGGGAAACTTCCCTGGCTAGCCAGCCTTTTTTCCACCGTTCCGCTCTTTTGTGATGAGCCGTAAACAATAGCTTCTCACCTGCGCTGGTATACTGTCCCGGAGTACACACTGTGTCGGCGGGACAGCATACCTCTCAGGTGGACAATGCGGGGACCGCGCGGGCCGGAGCGGGCGGGGACAGGCAAATCCCCTCCCTCCCGGACCCTCGCGTCGGTCACGTCGACCGATCGTCGAGGCCGATGACGCTCCGACGTCCACTCCTGGCCATCCGCCAATCGCCGCGGGACACACACAGAGCCAGAACGCACCAGAAAAGAGACAGTCGCCTCGAGAGGCCACTCTGGAAATAGTAATGTCTTCAGATGTATATCAATGGGCGACTTGGATAAACCCCTGTTTGGTTGATTTTTTTTTTCACAGCATCACAACTGATAACCTATCCCAGGTTACCTAATATGTAGCATTTTCGAAAACGAATTTGATGCATGAATATGATGCATATCACATATATATAGCGTTGCTTTTCCCATAAGAACAAGTCCTTGCTAGCACACTATCGTTTTTTCCCGAAGATCCGTTTATTTTCCATGCACGGCTGGCAATGGTAGCTCTGCCCAATCCACCGCTATCAGACCAATCCACCATAAAATTTCCATCTCTGCTAAGCCGCGGCCCTCAATATCACCAACTGCATCGCCCAATTCCCGGACAGCTTCTTAGCCGGCCATCCTCCTTCCGTATGCACTATGCATGACGATAGAGCGGCCGGGACAAACCGATGCATCGCCTGGACGGGACTGATCGCCGGCGCAGTCAGCTGGCTCGCTATGACGTCATAAGGGGTAGAGATGTCGGCGCCAGGCGGATCGGCAGTGGCCGTGAGGGCGAGCTGAGAGCCCGACTCGGTGGGAGGTGACGCAGATAACGAGCTGCGATCCCGAGCAGAATGGGCTGGTTAAAGTTGGTGAAGAGATTTAGAGGAGAGCGAGCTGACGGTTTAGAGTGGCGTTAATGGTGAGGTTCTAGGGCATCAAAAAAGACGACGGTAAAAAGTTAAGTGATTTTGTTAAGCCAAACGTATTATCGTCAAGTTCAGAGTGAAATTACAAGACATACGACGAAAAATGTCTGAAGACATCATAGCTGTCATTTATGCAAAGATTCTTCTTCTACCGATAAATTGGCCGTAGTTCAATCAACGTCGACTAGGGAGCAGATTACCGTGGGCTGGTATTTTCACGCAACCATTAAATGTGAATAAACCGAAGCCAACAAAG